TTCGACCAACCGACTATCACCTTTTTCAGAACTTCCTTGCTGGAAAATACTTCATCAATCAGGACCAGGCAAAAAACCTTCGTGATTTCGTGGATTCTCGACCACCCAGTTTTTTTTGATGGGATTTCTCGACTGCTGTCACATTGGCAAAAGTGTGCTGATTCGAATGGTGCCTATTTCGATTAAATCCGATGAGTATTAAAAAAGTTACGATCGTTTAAAGTGAAACACCCAAAACGCTGAGAACTTTCCGGACAACCTAAACTCATGTTTGACCTAATACTTGGGTTTTTACCATACCTCTTTACAGCTCGCGGAATTTTATTGTAAAGTATTGCCAGCTTAACGATGTGAATCCACTTGCAGTGAGCCCATCAAAGAAGTCAGTTGTGGACGTGTGCACACTGTACTGCTCACGGTTTCGGGTAAAGTTCTAGTCGCTGGAAGTGGTAGTTATGGACAACTGGGTACCGATGAGGAAATCAAAAAGCAGTATGACTTCCGCCCACTGCCTGTAGATTCGACACTGAAGGTGTAGCTTTATTCATCAACGAAAGTTGCTTCTATTTCATGCTCCCATGGTCTCTAATGGTTTCTTATACTTCCAGTTCGTGAAAATCGCCACCGGTTTCTATGTATCTGTTGCGATTACGGAAGATGGGCGTATCTTCGAATGGGGTAGAAATCCACAAGAAGTAAAAATGCGTATGTTTGTCACGAGACGGCTTCGCATGGCACAGTTGAAGCGACTTGCAGACGAGGAAGGAGATGAAATCGTCAGTCTCTTCCCCTTCTATGTTTTTCTGGATGAAATTTCTGTTTCTATGGTTTAATCATCTTTTAGGGCATTGTTAATATGGAAAAACCAAAAATCCTCCTCCCTATGGACACTCCACGTGATGACCTAGGCGTTCGAGAAGTGTTACACCTTCTTGACGGGCCAGTGGTTGACGCTTCCACAGGCCTGTCTCATATTGCAGTCGTCACTGATCAAGGATCGCTTTTCACGTGGGGAAAGGTGGGTGTATTCCAGTTTTTTTTTCAGAATAGGTTTTAATTCTCATGAATATTGTTTATTCGCAGGGTCTTGATTTTCAACTGGGTCACGGTAACAAGACTGAACGCAGCGAGCCACATATTTTATTCGATCCTCGTGATGTAAAATGGAAGCTGGTAGCGTGCGGTAGGTACTTTTGATTTCCTGTTGTATTCATTTGATAGGTCATCTTAGGCAACGTCCATACTTCCCATTGACGCGCGTCGTCGCGAGTCGACGCGCGTCATCGAGAACTCTGAACGCTCCTTATGATTGTTGTATTTTGCTCCTCGGTGGGATCATTTTCATTCTCTCCTCATTCTGTCGCGA